CAGTCATTAACTACTCTTGTATCTGTAGGTCTCAGTCGCACCAGAGCACCTCCCACTTAACCCAGTTAAGTAGAGGTGTATACACCAGTGTATCTATTCCTTTGCGGTCTCATTTCGACCGCTGTCCAGCCAATCACCCGGGTTCACAATGTTTCCCAAGGATGAGAAATTCCCAGGAAATTTCGGCTGTAAACGTTTGCCATATCCCAACTGAGACTCTTCCTCCCACCCATCCTTACATACGACCATATTTACATACGCAAGTAGTTATGTTAACGCTTGAGATGCTATCTCAAACCGATGTAGTTCGCGCTTTTGGGATGATGTTATCACAGGATTGTGCATAACAGTTAATTCACCTAATCCGCAAGCTTACCTCCATCAGGCTTTCAGCTTGGTTCTGCTCTACTTTGCTTTACTTTCCTCACAACTATATTAAACGTCCTCGATTAACTTTTCTTTCTACGCTTTGTATGTGGCCAGTTGTTTTCATACTCTATGCAGACGAACACTTTTAGGAAGTGTCATCTTCGTGGACTACTTATCCCTTGCAAACCTACTGTTGTACGTAGCAGATTTCATGGCGACCTAAGACACTCAGTTTCCACGAATTGCTTGTTCTGGAAGCAATGAACAATGATTTATGTCGGGTAAAAAACAGTTGCTCAACAAATCCTGCAGTATGGTGGAGGTAAAACTATAATATTCAAAAGATAGATGAATAGTCTGTTTGAGAGTTTATCTTGTAGATACGCTGCTGAAAAATAACAGTGTATGTGGGAATTGAATGCGAACGACGAGGCAACATGGGGATAATTATATTTGATGTACTCTGTGAGAAATGTAAAAAGGAGAATACTCACTTGTGTACCGCCTCCTCAGGTTTATGTGATATGTTAATCCCGTTTGAAGGGATAATTAATCTATTCCAAAGTAGCACGGTTTAGGCAACGAAGTGATGGGGGCCAACCGCTTTTTGAAAATATCCAACCTGAGGGGAACAACTAAGTTTAGGAGAGAGTTCCAGAGTTGACAAACCCGAAAAGAAAAATAATTCTCCTAACATTCCAGGCGGCTATACTGTGCACTCAATTTCACAGGGTTACCTCTGAGACTGGTGTTATCGCTGAGTTTCACCAAGTGACGGCATGGGTGATTAGGGTCACACAATATTTGGTAGACTAATATGAGATCGTGTATAATGCCCATTTATTGTTAGTCCCGAAGTGAAAAGCAAGTGGTGAGTTCTGAGCAAACAATTGGTTACGCTTTATTCGTCATCAAACTCAGTTCTAGATCAACATTGGTGAAGGTTGATTATCAATACTAAAGATATCCTGTGAGGCAACCCCGACTGCTAACGACACATTGAAGCCGTGAAAAGCACGTTCGGAGAGATGACATTATCATCACCAAGCCGGACAAACGGTCTGGATTTGTAGTCATGGATCGCGCAGATTACACAAGAAAAGTGGATGCGATCCTATCTGATACCTACAAATTTATAAAGCGACAGAATGCGAAGGATGAAATAAACTACACCGAAATGCAACTAACAAAATCTCTAAAATTGCTTGTAAATGGCGGACCTATAAGTAGAGAAACCTATGAAAATCTCATGCCTGTGGACTCCATTATCCTCTGACTGTATGGCTTCCCTAAGCCACACAACTCACACATCATTAAGACCGATACTAGAAATGAGAACTTCGCTATAGCACAAAATCGCAAGACAGTTGACCCGTTTAATGGACCCAGTCAGAAAAATGATAGCCCCGCTTCAACTAACCGATACGTTCCAGTTTGTGGAAAGCTTTCGAAGCATGAATATCCTAGACCATCAGAGGTACTCCTTGGATGCTGTCTCACTGTTTACAAACGTCCCCTTGTTTGAGACATTTACTTTCCTAGGCACATACATCGACCAACACGGGACAAAGCTTGGGATACCAACTGTCCAACTGAAACAGTTCTTGCTCAGATGTACCTACAACATACAGTTTCAATTCAACAACTAGTTTTATAGACAAGTGGATGAAGTGGTGATGGGATCGCCTTTAGGACCTCTCTTGGCTGATGTGTATATGGGAATGCTCGAAGATGGTCCATTAAAGCCGGTCATTTCAGAATTCAAATTCTGAAGTTGCTACGTAGATAATAATTTTTATATAGTTGGCCGAACGCCCACCATACAACATATCGTGCAATATTGCGACCAAGCCCATCCCAATGTAGCATTCCCGATCGAAGAGGAAAATGACAACCAATTGAATATCCTGGATGCAAACGTTAAAAGAAGACAAGATGGCTCCGTCCAGATAAGACTATGTAGAAAACCTTGCTAGGCCGGTCAATACATACACTTCCGGTTTTGTACCACTTAGCCGTAAAAGAACGCTGGTTCGTAATTTAACAAACCGTGCATATCGAGTCTGCAGCGAGGACACCATCGCATAAGAATTGAAGCGAATCAAAGAGATACTTCTGGAAAACGGTTACCCGGAACACTTCAATGACACTCACATGAAACAAAGCTGTCCAAAAGTCGCAAGACACACCTTTGAGAAGAAACTACTGTTCCTCACTCTTCCATTCATATGTGATAACGCGTCAAAAGTGTGTGCGCAGACAAGTGCGAATTTGTGAGAAAATATTCAAAGCCGTCTAGCTAAACGTTGTCTTTACAAACTAGTCGCTATTGGTTCCTAGTTTCAAAGACAAAGCGCCTGTCCATCTCGAAGCTATGGTAATTTAGCGGCTTATCTGTCCCTGTGGGTATAGGTATGTTGGACGAACGACCAAGCATTTACAAAAACGAATCAAGAAACATCTACCCAGTGGGCTCACGAACGAACATGAAAGAACCAACTTAAGTGCCATCGCAAATTATCTGATTAGCACTGGCCATGAAATCGATAAAAGGTCTGCTTTTGAGATCATGTAAAATCACCTTTCCAGCAGAACCATCGGCTGAGTGCGCGACCGCTTGCTACCGAGGAAGCGCTATGCATAAGATTAACAAATCCAAGCCTATGTATCCAGAGGAAAAACGTCCAAGCATTACAGCTCCCATGGCCATCATTGAAGCGGGAAGAGTCAGACCTAGCCCAGCAACCCCACTTGCCATCCATCACATGATCGTCGGAAGCATATCAATAGACTCGATTCGAATGTTTTTGCTCAGTTGTTATTCTTGGTACCCACAAGGGATTTGTCAGCTTTTTACCCTTTATTTCTCTATTGAGCCTGATGACGAATAAATCGAAAAAGTACTGGCTCTGAAGTCAATATCAGAAATCAGTTCAGGGTGAAGAATTCTTTTCGGTAAACTCTCATCGGACACCAAAGTTTACATAACACTGGGGAAAGCGTCAACTCAGGCTGGGATTTACTTCTGGACTGTTTGAATGATCGAAATCGATAACTTAAGACAGCGATATAGGTGCTATGCCAAGCGAACTAATTGCACATGCATACAGTATTCAGTAGTCCGAAGTAATTAGGTAGGTAGCGTAACAACCAAATAACTAAGTAACAGTGTCCGTTGACCAAGGTAGTAGTATCGACCGTATGAATGGTTTTGTACACATAATTCCGACTTCATCTGGTGAATGTAAATAGCCTCGATGATGGATAAGAGCTGTGTTGCGGAATCCTTGGGAGACGTGTTCAGGTAGTGAGTAGATGACTTTGAAGTCATCCTCTGAAACTGCGTTTCTCTCCGGGATTAATAATATGAAATCTCCGAGCAGCCTTTGGTAGTCACCACTGAAAACTCCCAGTGACGTCAGCCTTTGATGTTAAGACAGATTTAGTACGCCCTTGGCCTTCTTTGTAGCCATGCGTTGTGGTTTCTCTATCACTTCTAAGTCGCGCGTCAAATGAAGTTGTCAAGCTTGGATGGCGCAATCAACCTAAGGGCGTACGTAGCCGTTGTGGTCATGGGGAAGATGGATGGGTCGAATCTTCCGAATGCTCTCCGCAGCAAGCCGACGTGCTGTTTGGCTCTCTTCGCAGCTGCCTCTGACTGCTTTGAACAGTTAACGTCACTTAGAGTGAGCATACCAAGGTAGCGTTCTTGGGCAGTTGTTTGCAATACATGTGACTCAAGCCTATACACTTAGTCTTATTTTTGGCGCCATTGAACAGCGTGACGTTTTTCCACATTCAACGGTATTGCCTTCTGAACTGACCAATTTGAAATCGTGTTGAGGTCATGTTGGAGCTTTTCGTGATCGTCTGGTTCCCTGATCGGTCACCATATCTTGACATCCTCCGCGAAGAACAGGAAATCGAAGTAAGTTCCCTTGCCATATCGTTCATGAAAATCAATAGACGGGGCCCGAGCGCCGAGCTTTGTGGTACGTCGCATACCACCTCGATTGCGTCGGACAAGGATTCTCGTACTCACGTCTCCAACCGATATTCGTGTAGGTATTTGCCTATCCAACGCAGCTATGGGTCACCAACGCCATAGAGCCGAAGTTTATGGAGGAGAATTCGGTTGTCTAAGCGATCAAATGCTTTTGAGAAGTCCAAGTAAATGACATCAACTCTTGCTCCATCATCAACTGCTCAGTCCAAGTATTGCATGCAATTAGTAGGTTCGTAATGTATGAGTGCTTTTGTCGGAAACCATGTTGCTCGGGTGCTAACATCTTGTGATATTCCAGATATTGCATGTGTGAATCAGCGTTGGTAGGCTCATAAACATGAAAAGCACAGGGAGTAGCGTTATCGGACGGTAATTGTTTGGCTCAGTACGACTACAGCCTTTATAAATGAGAGTGATGAACCTTTGCTTCCAAATAGCGAAATTTGGTTCTCCTCTAGATAGCGCTGATCAACGCCTGGTGTTCTCTAAATTCGGTCAAATTACTAATTAGAGCTGTACATCTCGCCTATAAATATATATATATATATATATATATATATATATATATATATATATATATACCTGATCATAACCTCTGTTCTATTCTTGTCCACCACTGTTATAGGTTTTTTGTTATGCTGCTTGCCTACTGAAGTGGTTTCGGTTAGAGGCTATGAGACAAGAAGCGTTATCTGTCGTTAACATCAAGGGTCATCATGGTGAGCGGCACACTACCCCCCTCGCTCCAACGCTCTCTATGGCTGACTTGCAGTCGCAGAAAGCAGTTGACATGGCTCCCAACGAAAATGCGAGGCAACCTATGGATGTTTTCTTGGAGTCTCACAACGTGGACGACTATGCAGCGTCACCATCCGTTATACCGGCTCTTCAGGAATCCGATATGGAATCGAAAACTACCACGCAGACGGATGAGTCTGTGGTCGAAAAGAAACCGAAGATATCCAGTTCAGAATCAGACGGTGACAGAACTTCTCCTACTTTGGCAGCTGAGCAGGTGTGATTTCCTTTAACCCGTATAGTCACTCCATTCGATTAACGATATAATCACTGACTGGCCGGTAGAATACCTGCTTGTTAGGGGAGTATGTTTTTAAAAAGGTAAATCACTCGCCTTTGCTTAAAGAGAAGATGCAGTTTGCTTGCCTGGCCGCCTCTATCATTCATCGTGCTCCCAATGATGGATTGCCTCTCATAATTACCACCGTGTTAGTTTGCACGAGTTTGACCGCCATCGGCTCTCTGGTCAACCTGAAGTGGATGAGCTTGAATACCCCTATTTCCGTTGTCTGACTGGATGGAATCCCTGAATTCACTAATTTAACAAAACTAATTGAGACGGACCGTCCTCAAAATAAGCTAAATAACGATGTTGCACGTGTTGTGGGGATGTCAGTTAACCATACGTCTCAAACTGCACTGTTAGTACGTTTTACACAGTAGTGGGATGGTGCTACAAGCGTGTAGCAGCGTGTGCCAGGCGAACTCATTTCACAGCCTGCATTCGGAGTTGATAAATGTGTAAGACAGTGTGGATTATATGATTTCTGAGCAACTGGTCTGAGCAATAGAGATATTTTCTCATTTCTCTCCGCCCTTCTCAGTGGACAAATTTGTCACTCACTGTTAGTTCGATTTTTGTCATGGGCAATTTGAATTATCCGTGCTTTCACCTCACCTAGGCTTTTATGCTAGCGTCAGCACCAGTCGCCCATGGAAGTGAAACTACTTATCCTACTGGCATATACAACTAGGCAGTGTGAACTACGGGCTTCACCTAAATTCCAAAGAGTTTTTCGCTGCTAAGTACACGTAATGTACATTAAAACACTACTTGATATTTGGAACACTTCAAGAGGTCTCCACAGAGTCTGGACTCGGGATGTCTTCTGAAAACAAAACAAAATCCTGTAAACTTATTGCGTTCCCGTTTTACGATTTCCTGGAAACGTTCTATTATTTCGTAATCAATCTCGCACCAACGTTCATCACTGCTGACATTGACTAGGTCCAAATGTAAACTATCAGCGTTAGTGTATGGGGCAATTAAGTGAGGTTGTGTAATTCTCTGTGTTTGAGGCGCATTCACTACATTACGTTGCAATATGTTCCTAGCCCACGTTGTCGTAAGTAACGATCACGGCAGTTATTCCCTCTTATGTTCAAAATAAAACGAGCAGGTCTTTGAATGTTTGTACTCAAGGGTATATACCACAGTCGTTACTCATGATTTTGTCAACCCTTCTGTCCGATGTTTGTTTGCTAAAAAGCTCTTGATGGCGTAATGGAGTAGTCTACTGCACGGTGGTCTAAGTTTCCGGAATTGTTATGAAGCTTGAAATTCCTTCATAGAATGTTTGTCGTGGAGCAGTTCCATCGGCTGATTGCAAATTGCACTCAAGGGAGTAGAAATGCACGTATTCCCACTGATTGGTTTTACCGCTCAGCCGAGTTTCGGATTTGCTTATGCAACTGGTCAAGCTAGAACATGCCAAATCATCACTGTGAAGTGGTGCTAGCTAGTAAGCGAGCAGTCGGTGCCTTAGACGCGTCAGCAATTGTTGGACAGACAGGCAGCCCCACCCTATCACAGCGCAGTAGTGTGCCTGACTCAGTGCGTTCAATCAGGCTAATGATCAAGCGAACGAGTGCGCTTGTGAAACACAGCTTATCGTACCGGAACGGCAGAATCGAGAATAGAATGCTTGTTTGCTGAAAGCGTGTATGCTCTTTCTTTTGACGCGGCTGAGAGACCCAGGCACGCAACGAATTGTAGAGCAAGAGTCGCAGAAATGGCGCACGTTTTAGGTCGCATTATGTGAAATCGAAATCTAGTCACAAAGCACGGTATGGGCAACACTCGTCCCTCCGTGAGCAGTTTGGTTTGTCGGCTTCGTCTACAGTGGACGAACTAATTGTTTAAGCAAATGTGACTCCAGCTTGCAGATAATTAGAAAGCCATTCATCCCCCTGAACAGTGGGAACTGCAACTACGCTGCTTCACCGCAGCTCATTGTAATAGAAACAAATCGATCAGTTGACTCGCTGGTTCAACAAACTGATATAATTGGCTACCACCCCTGTAAATAACATAAGGCTTGTGGATATATGATTAGCGGCAACGCGTAGATTAATTTGCGACCAGTTGTGGTTGCGACAGATCAGTTCGTCTAGTCTGTCCTCCTTTACACTGTTCCATTCCTACATTCTGTGGGGCAAGCTCAAGTATTCTCCATCATTCAGGCACACAAATCCAGAGGAACAATCAGTTAGACGTGGGTGCTAACGGAACCGCCTCAAATCAATATCCAAATCATACCGAAGCCAACGTGAAACTTGCCAAGTTAAATTCGGATATTCAGCTGTCTTGTTCGGACCCGTATAACTGTAGGGGAGAAGTACAAGCGGTGACACTAGAGTTTGCCCAGCGTTCCGAGCTAACTGTGCGTTGACGCTACCACAGGCAACAAGCAAGAAAGACTGGCCGGTCTATCCCACCTAACAATTCCGCTTCGGGGTGATAGCATGAGCTTGCCGTTCTCATTAAACCATGGCCGCCCGTGGCCTTAAAGATCACAAGCATGTCTTGTAATTCGAGGTCGCGGGTTCAAGTCTGCGGAGGGATCAGACGACTCTCGCATCATCCCAAAGTCACTCGCGACAGTTGATGGTTGCGCGGCGGCAGAGCGTCGGTATTGCTTCCCGGAGTACTGCTGATACCTACTTTTTCTATCGTCGAACTAGAACCAGTGATTTATAACGGGTAAATAAGAGAAAGCTTTACAGTTCCTGTAAGATGACTGGAGTGAGTATTTCAAAACCAACCAGAAAACTCGACAGAAAATGCAGGGGAAATTCAGGAGTTAGGTGACTCACCAAGAGCTCAGCATGAACACAGACACAGATATCTTCACTTTACTCGGAGGGATAGTGAGCACACTGGTTGGTTCAGGCTATTTCATTTTCCGATTGAAACGGACTATGTCGCGTGATATAAATAACATAGTGTTTCATCAATTCTTCTTTTGAAATACGATAATGTTAAGGCAGTGACGGACGTGTGAGCATTTCATGTCCGGATACCTGAAATGGCCAATAACTTTTTGTGTATAATCTAGTTGACTCTGGTGCGTGGCTAATTTGAGCTGTTAGCCTCTCAGGTTAATGTTTTGTCAGAAGTGAAACAGTTCGCAACAAAGGTGCTTGAGACTCGTCCGTAAGAAGTGCGTCATGATGAGTTCTCCTGGAATACACAGATGCTCACTGCTTTCATTTCGAGTTGGTAGGGGATTTGAAACAATCTACTAACACAAAGAAGACAAATGAGCCACTTGCCTGTCAACGGTCTTCGTAAATCACCCCGCTGCCTTGCGGGTCAGGTCTTTAGACCAAAGACTCGGGGTGGGTTCCTTAAGTTAACCCACTTCCTCGGTTTGGAAAAGCGGGAAGCTCAATGCCCACAGAACACATGAAGCTTTGCTTCCAGTCCTCTTACTCTCATTTTTGTTATTATTATTCATGTGTTGTGGCACTCTGTCAAATGTTTATTGGGCAGGTGTTAAATACATCAATACATACATATTCGTTGCCATCGGACTGAAACCTTCGTGCACACCATTTGTTGATTTTAGCTTCTTTAGAGTCGTGTTGATGAGGGTGACTAGTTTGGAGCTTGGGTCCTGATCGATGAGTTGATAAAAGGATTCAATTTTAACGTCAGGGATACTTTCCACAATGATTATTTGGGTAGCCAAGAATATGTTCTGAAGACATACCAATTGTCAGAAGAAGATCAGCAAACAATTCGCCAAACAGTTATTTCAATGATTTTCCGAAACCAAGTGACACAATGTCTTCCCAAAGAACAAAAAGCCCTAAGAAAGCTACAGAGGACGCATAGTGGATAAACCGGATTATATTGAAAAGGCTAAACAGCTCTTATTCGACACAACTACTTATCGTTACATCGCTCCGGACCTCAGCTCAAAAATAGTCACCTGCATCAACACAACCCTAAAGAATCTACAATCAATAAATGAAATCACAAACTAAATACGGCGAAAGATGAAAGCTGACGATGCCAATATTACACAACTTTACGGGCTACCGAAGGTACACAAGGAGGGGTCCCACTTCGACCAATCGTCGCGCTACCAGAGACACCGTCATACAAGCTGGTAACGAATATTTGGAGGAAATTAAAACACCTGATCTCCGGATCTGAGCGAATCATAAACAATGCTAAGCTGTTCCTTGAGAGGTGTCAAGATAGAGGATGATGAAATTATATTGTCATTCGATGTCACCGCTCTATTCACATAGTTCAACCATGAACTTGCTAAGGAGACCATGATTGAATTAATCCAAGATCAACGGAGCATAACAGGAAACATGAAACCGGAAAGTGTGTGGGAACTGTTGGACCTATTCTTGGCTACTTATTTCTCATTTGATGGACAAATATACCAACAACTGAAAGGAACGTCCATGGGGTCACCCATGTCAGGGCTAAGGCCGAAGCTGTAATGCAAAAATTGGAGTGCATTACCATGCCATTGATCAATCCAAAGCATTGGACCTGATACGTTGACGATCCATTTGTCATAATAAAACGAAATTCGATACAGTATACACGTTTTGATCAACAACACGTTTGATGACGTCAAGTTTAGCACTAAATTGGAGAAAGGGAACTAGTTGTCATTCTTGGATGTTTTAGTTCACATGAACACTGACGGAACTCTTCAAGCTTGTTTCTAGCGGTAGAAGACACATACGGATCAAATATTGAACTACCACCGTAACCACCTGATGTAGCACAGAAAGCCGTATCCAAACACTATTCAAAAGCGTGGAAACGCACTGTAGCACAATAGAATTAAGAAAGAAAGAGAAGCATCCATGCCACATGTCACAAAACAACGGGTATCCACGAAACTTTGTTAGAATAAGCGTGAAGAGGACCATACCCCAGCAGTAGCCAGAACACGCAAGTAAACCAGTAGTTCTGCCCTACATCAAGAACGGTTCTGAACTAACAGCATGATTACTACATTGACACAAAGTCAGCATAGCACACAGACCAATTGGTACACTGCGAGAGCTGCTTTCGAGGCCGAAAAACCAAATCAAACTAGGGAATCAGACCCATGTAATCTACAGGATAAACTGCAGCGAATGTGATAAATACTACATCGGACAAACAGGAAGAAAACTTTACATCCGGATCACAGAGCATAAGAAGGCCTTAGGGAGGCATAAGCCCTATCCATTGGTTTCGATACATGAGAATGAAGGTGTCAATCATTTTGATCTGGAAAATAGGTTCTAGCACATGGCAGTATGAAGCAGGCAAGAAAATTATTAGAAGCATGGCACTCCACGAAGAATTCGATCAATCTGAACATTGAGTTGGATGCCATCTACGCACAGCTACGAGCAAGGACTACCACCGCGGTCGAATAACCTCATTAGAAATGGACGCCACACAAACAACTCAGGCAGCATTCCCAGCAGCAACAAACGGGTCATGGCCACGAGCTACAGGTCGAAGAGGCCATTTTCGAAGGTCACATGCCCAAACGGCCGATAACGATGACTTATAGATAGGCACGCGCGTGATCACACGGTTCACACTTACCTACGCATCGGTACACCAACTGCACTACGCAGTAACGCACTGATGAGGTGACCTTGACTGGTGTAGAAACGTTTGCGAAATAATTGTCAAGCTCAGAGAACAGTTCATCTAACCACTGATCTCTCTCGTGCTTGTCGTAGACAGATTGAAGTAAGCGGTGGCTGAACCATTTGAGGTATAAAATATTGACTCATCTTTCCGGGCAACCTTGCCTCGGCTCTTTACGATAGCATTTCGCGGTTAGATTCAGAAAATGCGTTGGGTTTCATCATTAGCTGACGCAACTGAGGCAAATTAGCGGCACAATAGCTGAGGTGATTTCCACCTCGTTAACGTGTATAATCACCTGATGATGAATTGGAATGAACCGAAAATACTTTATACCTTGCAGGACGGAACTTGCTACTGCTTCTATTTTGGGTGTTATGAGAAAATGCGTTGCCAAGTTACCTTCTAAACCGTTACTTAAGCGCCGCGTTGTGGTTAGTAACAACATAAGAGAAACATGTACTATGGATGGTCCAAGCAAATCTTTATGCTTTGCGCCAACATAGCGATCGGACATTTCTTGGAAACGCTGTTATTGGTAAAGTACTGACTAAATCTCAACTGTGTCGAAGAGGAAAACTGTCAGAGATCATCTTCGTAATAAGGCTAAAACATTTCTATTACTAACACATTAACAGCAACATTTCCACTCGTAGTACCGACAATTATCGTGCATCATATATGTCCATTTCACAGCGCACTGTACCGGATCGACCAATCTATGGAGTCGTAAACAAGAGCATTTTGACGAGAATCAATTATGGTAACTCGCGTGAAAGAAGAGATACATACCGCTTGGCTTTCGGAGCAATGAAATGTGAGTTGATTCAGATTCCGCATTGGATATAAAAGACACAAGCATTATCTTGTTTCCGTTTTTACTACGCTCATCAGTTACATTGTTGACGCACTGTTCTGGATGCAGCGACCGACACTCCTTGACTTTAATAAGGAACCTACTACAATAAGGATTAGAGTTTTGTCCAGGCTTATTGCATATCTACAGAACAAGTGGTTCACGTAGGAAAATTAAACCGGTTGTCGTCCAGAGGGTAGTTGAGATACCTCAGAAATCGTTAGCGTAACTAGGGTAGATGGCCTACGGTTGCGCAAATGCTCTTGTGGGGATACCGGCAGACAAAGTAGGGCATTTGTAAATTGAGCAAGTGCTATGGTTCTACTCTAGGTATAGGTTACTTTATCCGGGACTCGCAGGTTCCATTTACACTCGATGTTGGGATGCTAATATGCAGATACGAACAGCCTGACCTTAGCATCATTTCACGCTCAGACTTTCCGATTTTCTGCGCAACCTTTTGTCGTACGTCGCTAGGTTTACACTTTTTGGTCTCTGACTAGATCCATCTAATGAAAAGTTTCATCTGGAGTAATTTGAGCACAGATTGTTTCAACTGGATTTACAAATCTGGTCGACTTTTTGCCGTTGCGCAGATTCAACTTATACACTGACACTATAACCCGTCACCGATTAATTCCTCCTTCGACAGTGGAGTCTCCAACTTGTCAAACGAGCTATCACCCGTTCCGTTCCATCATCTTGTGTGATAGTTACATGGAAACTCACATTTCCATTGGGAATCCTTCTCAGTCAAGCAGCCACCAACTCTCATTGATCCCCATTTCAGTAGGAGCAATCGATCAATCTGCTCTGAACGATATCAGCATTCACAACTGGTGATAACTAGCCACCCTACGCGCGATCATACGACACACGGACGCACCACACAAGCCCCAATGAGCCAGTCAACTGAACCTGATCAGCTTGACAAACAAAAGCTGTCCGTCTGCAAGATGCCATTAACCCGCAAACCAGGCCACGGCCATTCAGCCACCATGGCTGCAAAACTTGGTTACCAAGCAGGCATGTGCTAGGGCAATAAAAATAGAACTAGCATGCTCTCGCTGTATCAGGCTTTAGCATTTGATATACATCAGAGGATTTCGTACAGAAGAAAACAAGTATAACAACATGCCATTCTCACTTTGGTTCTGTCCTAAGTGAACAACCGTCCCTCTTATACTATGTGTACCAGCATTAATACAAGTTACGACGGTCTAGTCGCCGAAACTGAACTTTAGTTAAATGTGAAAATTGCTTTGATGGAGGTGATAATTGCAACGTGTGCACCTCAACCATCTACTCCGATTGCTACCTCGAAAACAAAAATATTGGTCGGGAATTCTCACGGTGTCGCAGTGCCAGAAACCTTGGGAAACACCAACCGACTCATCGTCGAGAACCATCGAAGTATACGTGGCACCATAGCCCACCTCCTATAGTCCAATATGTCAAATGACGCAACATAGGTATCTTCTACATTTCCGATTGACCGGCCCCTTCTAAAGACCGATCCACTTATCCAACCGTCGTTCCTCATTTGCGACACCCTCTACAATCATAACACGCATAATGGACCTGGTGTAACCTGCATATAAGTCACTAAAGCCCCCGATAACTGTGTCTCACAAAGCAACAAAGACCAAACAAGATAGCGGCGCCCAAACACTCATACATTCAAATGTTCCTGAGTCCAAGGCAAACCCCTTGGATGGTAAACAGCAGGATGATTTGAAACTGGGAAATTCTTTTTGTGATCGAATCAGAGTTTGGGCCAGGTCGACTAATTTCTTGTACATCACTCGACATCCAAGCCCGATGCACTACGGAGAGCCTTGGCTAATGCGAGTAAAATCGAGATCCGTAGACAAAGTCAAAACGCTGTTTTTATCGGCATACTGCTTGCAGACTGAAGACAGTGTGATACGTAAGTTTCAGGACATTATATGCAGCGAAGGCCAGATAAACAAGTAGTGCCCGAGTTACCGGCAGTCAGCGACCTGGAAACTCATACATGTTAACTGGAAGAAAGGAGGAAAATCCGTGAAGCCTCCTTTGCTGGTGACCTCAACACCATTTAATTACAAGGAGACCTGTTTTGACTCACCACCAAAGCAGTGGACCTAAGATGCTGCGATTGATGGTTCAGTCCCAACAGATGGAGATGCACTTAATCTGCAGCTTCAGATATTGTGCAACGCACTGCGCTCGAAACTCGAAATGTAGACAGCAGTTAAAGAACCGCAGCCACTGACTGTCATCGATGAAACACAGACCGATAAGTATTAGATAAAAAATATATATGGTATACTTCTCGGCGGTTCGAGCTACAGTCCAACTATGTGGTCTGATCACAACAGCAATGCAAAAATGTGTGTGCTCTTCCAAGCAGCTACCGAGATATCAACAGTTTCGCTCTATGCTGCGAGTGTAGATGAGACCCAGAAGAGATTGTATACATTTCGCAATTTAGCAAAACACAAAAAAAACAATTAGGTCCCAGTGTCTCATCAGTCGGCGCAAATCCACCTCCTTCATAACCGTTAGAAACCCAATGTCCACGACCGGTCGGAAATCCCGCGCGGTGGCTACATTACACGTCAGGTTGCCAGGGAGTACGTGATTAAGCAGCTATGTGCGAAGCCCACGTGTACCGACGAGAAATCGCGTCCACTTATTCTGCCAAATTTGTGCATCAGGCCATAAGTGATTGGCCAGCGAACTCAAACCGGCATCCAGGGTTTGAACGGAGTTGAACACGGAGGTGAACGATTCTGCTAAATTCGGCAGGTCAGTGGAACTGGTTTCCCTCTCATTGGCTGGGGGTCAGACGCCAAAGATTGACTGACCATGCTTTCCAAAATTAGCATGTCTGGTTCATTAACAAATAGAGACGACCTATTTTGTAGAATGTACGCTACCTACCGAGCCTTGGATTTTTGATTTCCTTCGGTTGGCTGGATGGCTGGTTGAGCAGACAGACAAATATAGCTCTTTGTCAACAGCTTCTGATGTCCATGGAACTCTAGTTTATGTACAATAATCCTCAAGGTCTTCCTAGTAACTTTTCCGGACTGCAACTCCGTCAAATATCGAAGGCCTGTGCCCTCATGGACATAACAGAGACACGGTTGCGTCCCGACATAAATGGCAGGCGCCGGCAGTACGCCAGTATGCAGTACGAACGCTTCGCTGCCACGCAACCATCTAGGTCGCGATGCCATGCGTGTCCGTTGGTCTGCACAACCGCCCAAATAAAGAGGGAGGGGTGGCTTTGTACCTCTGCAGTGACCAATGTGAGCCCATAGGGAATCTAATCAATACGGTACGGGATTCCCTTTGGTGTCGTACACGGTTAGCTGGCGACGACGGTCGTGTACCGCCCTCCTTCGTTCACGACTAAGATGGACTCCTATTTGCTCTCCGCACTGAGGTGAGTGATAAACAGGAAGTACAACTACATTCATACCACCGATGCTTTTAACGTCCACACTGTGAAGCTCCAAGCCGTCCCTGAAGAACAGTTCAAATCAGAGCAACCAGAGTTTGTCGTCAGTTTCCTGCTTTATGGTCACATCAACACTCACATGGCATTCACAGAGATATATAGGCTGTCAATACTGGATGCAATATTCACCAATGACGAACTCATGTTGTGGAAGGTGATCTTCGACGTCCCTTTGAGCCGCAGTGACCATGCAGTTCAACGATTCAACTATACCTGTTATGCAGAATTTCCCATGAAAACTACCGACACAACAAGGGTGATTAGGCGCTACGACATATTGGCTCGAAACAATGAAATAACCAACGGCACGTTTCTGACAGTGAATGCACCGTCTAGCACATGGGAACCTTTCCTTAACCAGTTTAACACTGTGGTTGCGGAGGCAACAGAAACTAAGTCGGTCCACGCGATAAACGTGGTCTTGTTTGTAGGAATCAGGGCACGGAATTGTACGCTGTGCGAAACTCGGCTGAGCATGTCTCTAAGATCACTGCAAGCACCGAGCCCTGGATGACAAATGTGGGCCAACATACCCAATGTACTCTACGTGTCCGCAAGTATAAAATGGAATGCAAGTAGAAGTTCGAAACGCGTATACCACGGTAGTAGCAAGTAAACCGCCTACGTAAGGTGAAACAGGGAATTCCTGCCCCTCAAACAGCAGTTGGACTGAAAGTGACCACGAAGGATGTGGCGAAGACCCTGCGGCTGCAATTTGTTCCAAGCTTTCGAAGCATTCAGTAGACATCTAACCATATGGTGATGGTAACCGGGATCCCAAAACTCTCTCATGTATCCCTCACGACAGAAGCTGCGTTGAAATAGCTGTTGAGTATGCGTAAGCACAGCTTTCTTGGAGTTAATATCACTCACCCGAATTTAATTGTGATCATAGGAGAGAGCCTAGCCGAGGCTTTGGATCGATTGTTCTAATACTGTGTTAACGAGGTGTGGAAACACCGTATGGTAATTCATAGTCACGAGAGAAGTAGTCAGTCTGATCCAGACAACTGCCATCCTGTAATCCTAATACCGGTGCTTTCGAAGGTCGCAGAAGTCATTGTTGTAAACGTTTTAACGATCCGCTAGAATATAATACCTACCTTGTACCAGAGCAATATGGCTTCCGAAAAATATCGATCGCGCACTACAAAGCTACTTCTACCACTATGCTGCTGAACCGAAGCAGTAGACATTGACATTTGAGTTGATGTAGTCTTTCTCCATTTCTCAACAGCATTAAACCGGTTCGATCATGGCATTCTGCACTTTGAACTTAATAGCACCGGTATTGGTGACCCTCTTCTTTGGTGGATCGAAAATTTTCTCCTACACCGGCGTTTGGAGGTAAGAGTGCGTGAATCTCTATCAGATTCCAAGTCGAATGCGGAATACCATTTGTCAAGGATATAACCCCACTCATAAGCTTGAACTGCTCCCGGTATGCCGATGACATCAATGTGTGGAGGGCGCCCAATTCACCAGATGCTGTTACTCTACTTCAAGTCGAACTGGATAAAGTTTATGGATCGTCAATCCAGTGTTTACTTGGGATAAATGTGGATAAATGTAGCCTGCTGCTCTCACGGCACCAGCTGGCGTGCTGATATAAACTGGACAGCCAACAGCCTCAAACGGGTTCTGAAGTGAAGGATCTTGGTGTGTAAGTCCAGGCTGACTTTGGATGTACCAAGCTACCTGAGAAGGAGTCAAGACGTTGCATCCGGATGAATCAATCTCTTAACTTTTTAACAGCTTTCCGAATCATACTTACGTCTACATGTGTAATAAGCATTGCAGTTCTGGTCAGCATGACAAAAGAAATCTCACCGATAGGGATATATCTCAACGCCATGCAACCAGATGTTCAAGACTTCTGCCATTTGCCGTGCGAACAAAGGTTGTTAGTCTCGAAGTCTTCATCAGGTAATACCAGAGACTGCGTGGGAACCTTATTTTGACTTAGCAGACTTTGATGGATCCCAATCATACGTGCTGCCATTTGGTGGGGCTCAGTCACAACATCAAGCTGAAAGGCCACCATCTCAAATTGGTAGAGTAGTACAGTCGTTTGGAATGGCGTCAGGAGTTATTTTTCGTACGAGTCTGCCAAGCGTTGAATGGCCTGCCGGAATCTTTCATCTGTGTTCTCCCACTGGTGAAGTTCAAAGCCAGAGTTGACCATGCACTAATTTAGCCGCACCCTCTCACATGCATCATTGTCCATGGCTAAACATTGGTGTGTGTTATAGATTTCACTGCCGATCAGCCCCCAGAATGCATTCCACCTGTGCACTCCCTGCACGCTTTTACCAGGAGGTAGCACGGTTTTTGCAAACGTCTCATTTGTCGTCATTAATTATGGAATTAGGGTGTGGTGGACTAAAGCAAGCATTAGTACACCTGTTATCATGGGCGCCAGGAAGCCAAACGACAACGAGTCAACAGAGGGCCATAATAATTCCCTGAATGGAACGGATCACGTGGAAACCGCATGCGTATACGCTTGAGGAATGGACACATACGTAATACACGCCATGTAACAACTAGACACTGAAGCTTTGCGCGCCATTCAACATCCAACGGGCAGTGCGTATATGAGCGGATATTTACTTGGTCAGAACCGATGCATTCAGTAATGCTTTTTAGTACAATAATGAATTCCCGCCGCACTTCGTGTTCTGGCGAGTGGGTTTACAGTTTTTACTGCGTGTACCGCGGTGAGTTCAGCAGTATGGATCAACTTATACTGACTTTTGTTCCATATTTTGTAAAGATTCACCCATGTCCCACTGCTCGACAAAATCCCACTATTACTGGCAGATATGAGTAAATCCGATGCGCTGACACGCGTTCCACTTGACCGCCATCGCTTACCTCCATCACTTACTTTCTGTTGGATGTGTGAATGAGTTCCGGTGTAACAATGTTGCAAATTAAAAGGTATAAATGTTTGCTAGATGTATTAAAGTAGCGATGGAGACTCTACGGCATCTACCGTTGATAGCATCTACCGTCTACTACACAGCCTTATCCATGTGTTCACGAATCACTTAAATTGTTTTTAAATAGGAACGTCATTCTATGCTACTCAGGATCCTCGTCTTCCTACCGGAAGTGAGATACGTCGAACCAAGGGATTATAAGTACCTTATCGAAACGGATGTCTTCTGCTCTACCGCGTTAATTACATAGGTAAGGCCAATGGAGCACGCCGTCTCACCAGTGTAATCAAATGGCGTCAGGGATATCTGAAGGGCAACTAAAGTCCCCAGTGAGTGCGCGAGTTAATCGGCCATCCATGCACGTGGTTGACTAGACAAGCTTATTCGAACCGGTTATGGCACGAAAGCAGTAAATTGGATTTGAAAATCTAATAGTATAAATGCGTCCATATTAATATGCCAGCTTAAAAACTGACGGACTTATTAGTTGCTTTGGGTACATGCGGGAAATAAGCCTCCTTTTGCAACTTTAGCATCCCCATTTGCTTTTGCTGACGGGGAATTGCCGTGCAGCTATACACCTACTTGTCATTTTCACGCAGACATCGCAATCATCGAAAAGCTTTTGGATGAGATCGCATTTTACTTGGAACATGCACACCTAAAGGATGAAGAACACCTCGTATTGGTGCTGGTGTACGATTATACTATACGTAACTTTCAGCGAAGGGTTCCGCTACCAGATGAACGGCAGCTTCCGACACTAGAGAGGTATATGGAATATTTGCCAAGCGGCCGGCTTGTTTTACATCCTCCTGGCACTGAAATATTCAAGGTTAGTCACAGTGCTACTCGGTAATTAGCAAATGCTAGTTAGCTGGATGTTTCTGATTGAAGGTATCAAAGAATACGTATTATTAATATTTAATTAGTTGACACTTGTGCACCACGTTACAGTGTCAAAATGGCGTTAAAATATCCTGCGACTTTATGATCAATCTGGCCCGTCCAGGTGCTGCAGGTTGTGGTGAACACGTGCTATCGGAACTCGTTGTCAGTTTACTGGAGTACATGCCACGACTGCTTTGAGAATGGCCAACAATTATCCTCAGGGGTAGTGTTAACCTCCCGGTTATTTCGGACAGTTCATTGATCACTTTGTTCCATAGGACTAGTTGGACGCAAACTCTGTGTGCCTTGATGAATAAATTTGACTCGGAAGTGGTCAAATATCCTATGTAGTAGATTACGACTAAGCCTATGATGTCAAAAACCTAGGGGTGGTTTCGCTCCAACAAAGCTTGCCGGTCCGGCTTGTGCCTAATCTACTGAAGTGGAAATCGGTGAGGAAGATTTATATGCAACTATAGCTGTTAAGATATCGTAATATAGAAAATATACCATCCTAAGCGAAGTCTAAGCTGGTTTTCTATCATTCCATATACCAGTGCGTGAGTGACAAGCCGGTATCCTTTTAAGCACCCTTTTGATAAAGCTTGAAAAGTTCATGTTACGGTAACGAAGGTCGCGTTATCCATTTCCCTTACCTTGGTGCAGTAACAACACAGGGGACTCAGTTATTTTGTAAAGGTAATTGCTTCGCCATGCACATGCGTTTCATAGGGTAGTGGGGCATACGGATCACTGTGTCTTCAGCATTGTACTATATTTCTGGCAGAGCACTATCAATACCATCAAAAGCAATGCGGTACAGCTGAGCAGGTAACGTCTGCTGTTCACTCTATCCCTTGGGGCGAGCAAGTACATGGTTTTCACTGCGTCGTTGCTTTCCTCGAGGCATGTCCAGCTGAAGCGTTTGTTGGTGGTTCAAGTCACCATCGAAGCGTGTACAGCATATCACCTTGATATCCTCCACATTTGCTGTATGCAGACGATGCATCGGGTTTCTCCTCAGCATTAATGTAGGCCAGTATACGGCCCTTCATGAATCACGGAACTATTAAAACTGGCGGCGTTAAGTGTAGAGGTCCACCTGCTTCACTTCCTTTTAAATGCGATGAAGCTCTCCAGTTGGCCACTTCAAATGTCTATTCTGTCCGATTCACATTCATCAGAAGCCGATAGTGCCTTCTCATTCAACATGATGATGCTAATGGGTCAATGTTCATTGGTATGACGAGCAGCTTAAGCCAATGGGCCATAGGGGACGTTGGCTGGGTTACATAATTTTCAAGCCTACTGGGATATAGCACGACCTATCTTCCACTGTCACTGACAGCTGCTAGCTTGCAAGGTCATGACGTCTTCTCGCTAGTCGCTATATCCATAGCATTTGAAACTAGGAGAAGCTGGCAAGTTGGCATCAGCCTCCAGCGGTTATGAGTTCGATCCCTAGTAGGGGACAGAGGGAACGCGCACCACTGACGATCCACAATACAGCGAGTCACGTCTGGTGCCTTCCCGGACTAGGCGGTGCAATGTGGCTTGTGAGCTTCTGGGGTGAATAGTTTGAAATTACAATTAAAATCCTGCTACTCACTAGTAACATTTTATATTTCTTACGCATTAAGCCTTTACTGGACATAGTCATCCGGACACTACATTCTAATTGTGGTGTCGCTTTACAGCTGGTGAATTAATAATAACTAAATTTTTGTTAGTTGGATCGCCCTAGAGAGAAACCGTGTACATAATCCTGCATTGGTACTTGATTGATTAGCCTGGGTTGACCCTAACTGCTTTCATTGCGCAGACATTAAATGCACCAGCTTTGAGAGATGTTCGCAAGTGATCACAGAATTTCAAGCATCACTAAGGGATACAATATTTTCTATTTTGATTGTTGGCCATTTTTGATATTTATGGTGATAAGCTGTACCACAAATAACCAGTTGGACTTAGGTCTAGGGACTTTGATAGCTATTTGAGCTTTTTCACTCCTTCTATTTTCCTCCATTCTGTGATAACCTTTGCACAGTGCCTTGCTTCAGTTTCGTCTGGGCAGTATTCCTTCTTGAATAGTTGTTGGGTACCTTCCCTTTTTCTCGAGTATTGACCATGAGATCAAGGATACCGTGACTTCCAACTCCATTGGGAACCATGCAAAGCCAAATAATGATTTCGGTTGGCTGTTTGACGAAGAGCTTGAGAAAAGGTGCTTTGTATTCCTCTCTTGCAAACGTCGGACAAACGTGCTGCTATGATTCCCATAGTGATAGTCATCACTAAAGAAAGCTCTGTCTTAATCATTCTTGGTGCATCGTTTCCTTTGTGCTTCGGACAACAGAGATTCCTTCCCTGCCTTGTAGCCTCTCACACAGAATCCCAAAGGTCTTCTTACTATTAAGTGCGCATGTCCACTGAAGCTTCTTTTATTTACTCATCCTCTCGGGAAATGTAGGTCTCTGTCACCCAAGGATGTCCTCAGCAACACCAGGGTATTTCGGACCGTTGAAATCTTGGGTCGACTAGATTGATGTCTATCATCTTTGCTTTCAGTCGGTTTGTTTTTAATAAATCCGATGATTATGCTTCGATTACAGACACTTTTGCCTAGGTTTCCCTGCTTGAGTAAACTCCTTCATGTACCACTACTACATTTAATTCGAGCGTTCTCGTTCAGACACTTAAACAATAGAACAACGGTTTATAACGGGTACAAAAGATGCACAGGCTTGCCATGTCCCGTAGGTTGGCAAAAGAGGTAATTCAAGCTGCTAATGGACTAAGTGGACCAAATAAAATACGCATAGGTTGATCTATACGGTAAGGTCGTTTAGCGAGACTGTGATTCGCTACCGAATAAGGTTACAGTCCGTAACTTCACACTGACAGGCTGACCAGAGCCACATGTCACTAATTTTGGATACCTACACTATAAATATATTACTCTGTCCGCATATTCTGTCACCCCTACACGTACTAGACTTTTACTGTTGACTACACAACGCACACATGAAACCAGACTATCGCCGAATCACTAACGATTGTGTTCCTCCCCAGTACTTTCTCATTTCTGTAACTTCTATACCTTTTAGCCACCAGCCCATTTCGTGCAAAGCAACTTGCTTGTTGCGAAACATAGTGGCCTGTAAAATTTTGATCATGGCTGATATGGTGCAGCTCGACGAATCCGTGAATAAACTACATATATTTTTTATAGAATGAGGATAGTGGGAGTGAGATACTACCAGGCAAAACGAGATAACAGTTGGTTATGGTAATATTCATTGCAAATAACTGGCAGATTGCTTACCCTGCTGCACAGCTTTACGGGCGTCAATGTGCGTCATAATTCCAAAGAGGCTAGTAACTCTGCATATTTTCAGAATAGGTGCTCACATAAAAATGTGTAGAAACTTCAGTTTGATATCCAGGGTTGGTAGACTCGGTGGGAGAACAATGAGCAATGAACAATGGTTTATCACGGGATAAAAGCAAGTGCTTGGCACGTCCCGTAGGATGGTTGGGGTGAATATGATGAAATCAAAATATACCTGGGTCATTTACCGAATGTCTGCCTAGATGAATACTTTGATAACTTACATCAGTGTAAAATTAAAATAGTCGAGCGTAAACGTTCAGAACTACACTGGGGTGCAGTGGTCGTTCAGATAAGGCGTGAGAAAAGTAAAATATGGTCGCTCACTTGGGTCCATTTGATACATAAATCCTGATGAAAAGCATGCTTGACATAATCCACAATAGAGGAGTTTACGTAAGAAACTGCTGGGAGCTAAGAACAACCTCTAATCGTTTTTTGGAAATCGTCCAAGGTAGGGGAGGATACAACTCAGTCTGGGAGTGCGTTCCAGGGTTGGCAAACCCGCTGAGAAAAGTAATTACGTCGACACTCTAGACGGCTACATTGTTCTTTCAATTTTAAGCAGTTACGCCTGAGCTGCGTGTTGTGGCTAAGTTTCAGCAAGTGGCGGACTACGTGGTTGGGGTCACGCAATATTTGATACGCTAATATGAGATCGCCGCGCAGTCTTCGATAGCGTCCGCTGAAAATTCCCAGCAACTTCAGCCTTCGGTGGTAAGAGAGATAGCGCAGATCCTTTACATCCTTTGTTGCTTCTCGTTGTGATGCCTCTAAGGCCTCTAGGTCGCGCTTCAACCAAGGTTGCCAAGCTTGGATTGCGTATTCAACATGCGGGCGCACGTAGGAATTGTGCATCATTGGGAAGATTGATGGATCGAATCTCCCGAATGCCCTTCGCAGCATGCCGACGTGCTGGTTGCCTCTTTTCACAGCTACCTCAGCCTGTTTTGAACAGTTGTGGTCGCTCTGTACGAATACACCAAGGTCACATTTCTGGGAGCTGGTCTGCAATCCGTTTGTCCCAAGCAAATAGGTGTAGTTATGTCTATGGCGTAATTGCACAACGCGACATGTGTCTATGTTGAATGGTAGGGCGTTTTGAACTGACCAGTTCGACACCGTGTTAAGATCGCACTGGAGCCGCTCGTGGTCCTCCGGTCCTCTGATCCTTCGCCATATCTTGATATTATCAACGAAAAATAGGAAATCGGAAGCAAGTGATCTTGCCAAATCGTTAATGAACACCAAGGATAGACGAGCTCCAATCACCGAGCCTTGTGGTACACCACACACCATATCGATCGCATCGGACAATGATTCTCGGACTCTCACATCTAGGCGTCTTTCGTGCAGAAAATTGCTAATCCAACTCAGGATTGGGTCGCCAATGCCGTAGTTCCGAAGCTTCTGAGGAAGAATTCGGTGGTCTAAGCGATCAAACGCTTTTGAAAAGTCCAGGTAGATGACATCGACTCCTACTCCATCATCAACTGCTTCAGTCCAGCTATTACGTGCAATTAATAGGTTAGCAGTACATGAACGCTTTTGAC